TGTCATTGGAGTATGCTGTACAAAATTTAAATTTATATGCAGGGAGTGACTTAGAAAACAAGGCAGAAACTTACACTGTTTAATACTGCAAATACCTTTATAATTCCTTAGTTTTATGATCTGAAACCTTTTGTTATTGTCAAGTCCAGACATACCTGTACTCTGAATTCTGAAGTCATATGTTCTGAAAACAGCGCGAATGGTCATGATTCTTAAGCTGGCAAACCAAAGAGAAGTATGTTGAAGGTATCTAATGATACAATCAAGAGGGAAAATGAAATACAGCTTTAGGATTTGGCAGAGGAGCAAGAGACCTCTGTTTGCCTGACCATGCTTTTGATCAAGAACGTGCTTTTTAAACTTGATGTCTGCTAGAGGAACTTGCTTGGCTTTTCACAGTCCCCCTCAAATATGTAGCCTTTAGAAAAGAGGCTGCATTACCTCTTCTGTGCTTTCGGTTTGCCAGTGTAGTTCCATTGGAGGCAATGATTCTTTTTTAAGGCAAATTTGTGACTGTAAAAGCTCAGTCCATGCAGCAAAATGGAAATTTCCACTGAAATTTATTATTAGTGCCATGAATGTTAGGCTGATTCTACCTTTTAAGAAACAAAGCTTTTAAAAAATTTTCAAAAAAGGATCTGTTTTCTGAAACAGCTTGCCTTAAATAGTATGGTTTGTGTTTTTTGAAATGCCTTTAAGAAAGAGAGTGTTCCTCTTTGTTTTTTTCATTAGTATTTTCCTAGGACGAAGAAGCTGGCTAAGCATAGTTAAATACACTGATGATTTAAGGAGTGATGAATAAAATTTTATAAATCAAGAAATAGAACGTTAAGCTTAGATGAATGCAGGGAAAAAGCCCCTCTGAACACTAAACCTGTAGTTTTGACACTTGAAGGTGGCATGAGTATTGAAGTTCTACTCTTTGCCTTACACATTTGTGAAGCTTTTTCATTAAAGGACATTTTAAGAATTATATTGCCTAAGAATAAAGGGCAGTACATCAAGATGTTTCTTGGCCTGTTAGAAACTGGATTAGACTATACATAGGTACTAGAGTATCTTATTAGCATTGAGTACTCTGCTTTTGTATCTTTCATGGTTGTTAGTATCACTGTGATTTTCTTGAGAACTGTAAACAAACTACAAAATAAGTAATAGTCATAAATATTACTTGACTGTTTAGGGTATAGCTTTTTCTTTGGTTCATTTCTGATTCTGGATGCAATGAGTTTGAATTTGCTGGTGCACAAGTATATTGCTTTGTCATGCAAAAAGAACCATTCAGCATGGGTTCACATGCAGATTAGCTGACTATAAGAAATGTGTTGTAATTTATTTAAATCAATAATTGGATTATTCCTGTACTGTATGTTGTCCATGTATCAGTTTACTTGTCTTAAAATTTGAAGTTTTCAGAGTAAATGGGATAATGTACTTGGAAGATGATTTGTTTGAAATGCTGAAATGCCGAAGAGTTGTTGTATGCAAACTGTTATTGCTGCTAGGTCCTATTCATGTGCTGTGATAAGGACAGAAAAAGTGAAGCCTGTGCCAGTGCTTAACATGTAATTCCTCAAAAGTGAAACTAAAGAGTTCTAGCAATTTTCTTCAAAGCAAATTTCAGTATCTATACAGTGATTTGATATAAAGAAATTTTTGTTAATACTAACTTTCTTTTAGCTTTCTCTTCCCCAGATCAGGTTAAACAGGCTGCTAACAATGGATACAGATCTGTTGGAGCAGCAAGATATTGACCTGAGCCCTGACCTTCAGGACCACATGCAGCCTCAAGAGGAAGCAGCTCAAAAAGTCAAGCAGTACTATCGCTTTTGGATCCTGCCTAAACTTTGGATTAGCATCAATTTTGATAGATTAACTCTTCTGGCTTTATTTGATAGGTGAGATCCTTGTATATTGCCAGATCTCGGAAAGCAAAGATGAAAACAGTTACTAAACTGTAATACAGATAAAACTATCCTAGAGAATTATACATATTTACTGTACTCTGAAAAATGAAAGAATAATACTGAATGTAGTTTTTCTAAAATAATGGAGGCTACTTTCATTTTTTTCTGTAGCAATTAAAAAAGGAAACCAACCCTCACTTTGCCTGCATGGCACAGTAACATATTTGAATGACCAAATAGAAAGATTCATTGCCAATATTTAAAGCTAGAGTATAGCCTTCTCCAAAAATTAATTTGAAAGGGTCTACAATCTGGCATTCACTAAGTCTTTTGGTAAACAGAAAGAATTTGCCCGCTGTTCCAAAGCATTTTTTCGAAGGGTTGTTTAATACTGTGACTTCTTGTCCTTGCTATATTGACCTAGAGGAATAAAATTAAGGTGATCCTCCAGTTGCCAGCTTTTGGAATATGTAGAGTATTTGTATTTTGGTAATGAACCTCCTTGAAATAAACAGGATAGTAGTGATTCTGTCCTGGGAGGAATACTCATAACTCTGTTCCGAAGCACAGGCAATATCGTAGCGAATTATGTGTATTCCACTTGGCATATCTTACAAGCAAGAATATTTTTAGTTTCTTAATTAGAAAATCATGAGTGACAGGTTATATACACAGGTAAGTTATCATGCTTATGGATTTTTTTAGGCTTATCATCATTTTGGGTGGCTTTGAATATAGATTGCTGTTACAGACCATGCTTCTGGTGGAACATTTGAATTATTTCTAAAAATATCTGCTGAAGTTATCTTCTGCTGTTTAAAGTAAAATTCCATATGATACTAACTGCTTTCAGCTGTCATTGAAATCCTGGTAGCTCCAAGCTTTGATAAAGGACATTGTGCTAGTAGGCTATAGAAGTTCAAATTTGTTCTTAACTACTTGGCTACCAGTAGCATAATCCTTGTTAATTTTTTACTCTAACTGCTCTTTTGCAGCTTTTTCTAGACATAGTTAGCTTTAAATTCCGTTTTTCTTTTTTTTTTCTCTCCCTTTAAAACAGGAATCGTGAGATCCTTGAAAATGTATTAGCTGTCATCCTAGCTATTCTAGTTGCATTTCTGGGCTCTGTACTTCTTATAGAGGGCTTTTTCAAGGATATTTGGGTCTTCCAGTTCTGCCTGGTAATAGCCAGTTGCCAGTACTCACTGTTGAAGGTACTTTAATTTCTCTTTACTTTCTACAAACAACAGATAAAAATCCAGTTGGGTGTTGCAGGTTAGTTAGGGCTTTAAGGATAAATGTGCAAGCTTATCATTTATAAAGAAATTAGTAAACTTGGCCTCAAAGGAAGTTTGATAGATAGTAATGCAAGGTCACATCAACAGAATCATTCTGCATATGCTTGTTAAAGAATCCTTTATTTATTGTTCTCATGCATTTTTTTTGGTTCATGAAGAGGAGCACATCTTGTTGAAAACCGACTACAAACTGAACTTGAAGTTTTATTGGTTTGGGTTTTAATTTTCTGTAGTGTCTACACCTTGGAGCATTCATATTGGGGCAATTATATCTAAACATCTTTTTAATCAGATAATTAATTTTTGTTATACTGATAATGGTTTATTGTAATCTAAGAATGACTGATTATTTTTTGATTTGACTATTAGGATGGAAATCAGATTTAAAGTTAAAGTTCCTAAGTTTTCCTGTTGAAAACCAGTGAAAGTCTTGAAAATAAGGGGCTTGGGTGTTTTTTTTAGGATTTTGGTTATAGACATCTGCTCTTTAAATAGATTTAATGGTTTACAACATTGTGCTATTTAAAGGCTATAATGTGGCTTGACAGCTGTAAAATTAATCATAGATATTGTTAAAAGAACCTCGACCAAGAAAATAGGTGTGCGTAGGGAGGTAAACACACTTACCTGTAGATTTGGTAACTTTCCTCTTTTTATTTTGGTTTCAGAGCGTTCAGCCAGATTCTTCTTCCCCCCGACATGTAAGTCATGGGCATGTGCCACTGTACTAACTCTGCAGATGCAGAACGCCCACAGAGAATTGATCCATTTGGTTTGATTTTTCTGGCATTTCTCCGTTGTCCCTTCTTAGAAGGCACAAAAGGCTTGTAGTTGTCTTAGTGTGTGAGAAGGGAATTGGTATTGTTTCTCCCCGCTGTACTCTTTCAAATCATGTCCTCCTGTTCTGAGCCTGGCTTTTTCCAGGGAGCCATGTCATGATAAGCTTTTTGAAGAATCTTTATTATTATAGCAATTATACTTAGAAGTATTCTTAATGTTGTAATTTGCTCTGCTAGTATGAACTGACACAGCTTTGATGTTCTCTTTTAATTGTGTAGATCATTCAGTTGTCCTAGTGTGCACACTGCTTTATTTTTTCATTCTAATTAGCTGAGTTTGCAATGCTGTAGTGAACACTAATGTTTGAGCATGGAAATGGTAACTTTCTAGTATTGCACAATATGTTTGTGCATCTGCTAGATTGCCCAGACAAAATATTAACTTTATGTCCTAGATAAGATGTAGAAAAGCATTATTCCTCTGCAGCAAGTCATTAGTTTTGTGTAAGAAGTTGTATTTTGATAAACACAGATAGAGATTCTGTCCTCCCATCCAGCAGAAGCAGTATCCCTTTATCCTTTAAATTGATTTATTCTCAATTGCTTACACAGCCTAGTCAGAGCTTCTCTAGCATTTAGTACTGCAAGCAACATACCATAAAATACAGCTGAGACTAAGGGTATATATAGCTTAGTCTAACTTAATCTAACTGTTATGTCACAGGGACATTTCTCTCTGCACCTCTATGAAAAATCCTGAGAGAGAAATGTCCCTGTGACACTGTTATGTCTTTGTTATAGCAAAGCCATAAAAAACACAAACTAGTATCACTGCAAGGCAATGCTTTAGGGGTTTTATGAAGAAAACTTTAGGATATGGTGAGGTGACAGTATATTAGTTGATGACTAGTGATTAATTTTGATTCTGAAGCTCTTATCTGTAGCAGAAGAGTAAAAGTTACTTTACCCACTAATAATGAATAAATGTTGGTGTTTTTTGGTTTCTTTTTAAACAGGGTCACAATCGTATCATAGCCTATAGTAGGCCTGTATATTTCTGTTTGTGTTGTGGTCTGATTTGGCTGTTGGATTATGGCAGCAGAAACATATCTACAACAAGATTCAGGTTGTACGGAATGGCTTTCACCAACCCATTGCTGCTGCTGTCAGCCAGGGACTTAGTTATAGGTGAGTGGCTTTTTAATGGATTTGAACTGTTTGCTTTACAACAGTAGAACTTTAGGGGAACATTTTCTCCTTCTGTAGCTTTCCTGTAACAAATGGTAGAATCTACTAAAATTTTTGTTATCCAATATCTTAACTCTTATCCTTGAACTTGCTTATCTAACTTGGACCTGCATACACTACACTTTGCTAGGACCTAGCTGCTTAATAGTTAAACAAACATTGTAATTTGGACTCTTTCACACTCTCTTGAAGGGCTTTTGGCAAATGAGTAAGAGTTCTCTTGAGTCAGGCTATTTGTATTTAGCAATTGGCAGAACAGTACAGATACAATTTTAAAAAACATTACACATAGGTTAAATCTTATTTAACATGCTTCTCAGAACAGGCCTATCAGCAATATCAAAAATAAAATTTTTGAGCTGCATTTCCATTTTGTGGTAATTTTACTGTTTTCTGAGCAGCACAGTGCATTCAGAATACCGATGACATTTAGCTCCATTACCCCCCTGAACCTAATGCAAAAAACAAACAATGTAAACCCCAAAACAACAATCCTTTCCCCTGTTAGGAAAATAATAACAGCCCTGTAGTCTCAAACAGAGCCCATAGGAAGGAGAGAGAGAGAGAGATGTAAATATTTAAAGACTAAATTATCATGGGAAATTGCATGTGAATTAGATCTGAACTACTATATCTGAACATATGTAGAAGATTATTTCTGCATCTTTTATTCTTTAAGATGGAAAGTAATTGATATGTACAGGTGGAGACATAACCGTTTTCTGTATTGAAATTAGGTGGCATTCATTTATCTTTGTGTGCTGAAATCATGTAATTTGCAGGTGTTGTCATGATTCATACGGTTCTCCTCTTTAAAAAAACCCAAACAAACAGAAAACGCAGGCATTTAGGATTAGAATGTGTAGAAGGTGTGAGAAAATGAGTAAAACTGTCAGATACAATTAGTAGCAGAGAACCCGGAGGTGGAGTGCTTGCCCTCCCTTATGTCAGAGTGGCTGGCGTTAGGTTACCTCTGCAACTCTAGACAGGCAGTTAGGCTTGGATAAGTCTCACTCACCGTGAGCGAAAACTTACAAGTCTAATCTGTAAACACTCCTGGCTGATCTTTGCTAAATAAAAACGGAAAACCTGAATTGGTTTGTGTCCATGTCTACAGCAATTAAAAGGAAAATACTATTGATTTCTATGACCTCTGTATTCAGTCAGTTCTGAACCACTGAAGTAGGACTTTACAGAATGTATATTTTCCTTAGAAATTTGTAATAAAAATACTTAAGTGATGATGAGTTTAAATGGGGCGTGTGATACCCTAGAACATAAACTGAAAAATATCTTATGATGTTGGTTTTTTCATATTCACCACTTTTTCAACTCTTCTTTTTCTGTAGTGTTTACACTATGTTTCCCTATAGTATTCTTCATTGGTCTCCTGCCTCAGGTGAATACCTTTGTGATGTATCTCTGTGAACAGCTGGACATTCATGTCTTTGGTGGCAATGGTGAGTTCTGTGTTTTTTCAGTGGCAGAAGTATGAGATTTGGAGCAGCCCAGAACAGTATGTTAGTTAAAAAATTTAGTGGTTACGCTATTTTTATTCCTACCCTCTAAATATAGAATACTTTAATTATGTTTTTAAAAAGTCTAGAAGTCTTCTGATTGATTCTGATTCTATTGGCAAATAGAATTACTGTCCTAGTAAGTCTGTCACTTCTTCCTCAGCTGGTTTCTATTGCAGTTAACTATTCCCATGGTAAAGCTGTTCAATAACTAAGGAGATTTAAAAAGGCACATAAAATGCTCTTAATAAAAATTACTTGTAGGGGAAAATACAGTTAAGCTGCTCTGGTTTGAATTGTCTTTTTTTTTCCATCAGAGGAAAGTAGGGGGCTGGTACCTTAAACAAACTGAAGTATTTTGTATTCGAACTTAAGATAACAGTGTTTTTTCTTTTCTTTTCATTTCTATGATGTTCAGCTACCACAAGCCTGCTTGCAGCACTTTACAGTTTTATCTGTAGTATTGTGGCAGTAGCATTGTTATATGGACTGTGCTATGGTGCCCTTAAGGTAAGAAAAACTTTATGTACAGTGAACATTCATGTTTTGGGGTTTGTTCTCTGCTTTCTTCTGTATTAAGTAACAAAAGTATGCAACTACTGAACTAGAAATATTAGTTTGATTTACTAGGGTTTTATTCTTGCTCAGCTGTGATGTCAATAGAGGAGATGCAATGCAGGGACAAAGCAGATTTTTTTGCTTTTAAAAGGTGTGTGATTTGTGCCTGCTATAATGGGCCTTTTTTTGGTTGAAAACACATGACATTTAGCTTCATTTCCATTCTACAACAGTTCTTGAAAATATCATGCAAGTGGCTTGTTTCTAGCAGAGTCTGTATGTATTTCTATGTTAACCTCTCAAAATGGCTCATGTTAGTATTTTTTTCTGGTGCCACAAAAGTAAAATAGTATTTTCTAATTAATATTTATTTGAGAAGAAACTCAGAAATAGGTTGTAATGTCAAACTGAAGATGTGTGCCTATCTGAAGGGGAGAGTTAGTTAGCTGGCCAAGGGACACACAGCCACATCCCCCGCGTACCCTGTTTTCCTTGCTTGAAATGTTGTTTGAAAACAGTATGGGGTATGATGCTGGTTCTGTTTTATTCATTTCAGGTGTGTCAATAATCAGACATGCCCAGTTTACAATGAATTGTAGCATGTGTGGGTCTAACTCAGAATTGACTGGCTTTTCCACTTTATCACAGAGAGTAGAAAGTTCCTAGAGGAGTTATTCCCATGATGCTATCACCTGCAGGACATCATTAGCTTTCTGTGAATTTGTGCACTTCTCATTAGCCTTTTCTAAACACATCCATTTAAGACAAACAAGCTTTAGCAAAGAATAACTCTTTCTTCTTTGTAGATCCAGTGGAGATCAGGAAAACACAAATAAAGCCCCTGTTTAATCTGCATTCAGCACATTAGGAAAAATAAATCTTGAGTCAAATTTATGTAATGTTCAAAATTAAGAAGTGACTAAATACAGCTCTTAAGAGCCTGTGGTCTCAGGGAATGCAGGAAATGCTTCAAAAGGGTTATGACAAATAATGACTGTTTAATGATCAAGATAGTGTAGCTTTGAGGGATGTATACTGTGTTAGAGTTTCTGATCTGTAGTTAACATAGGTAAAGATGGAACAATATTTTTGTACAAAAAGCCCTGGCTTATTTTTGTGGAATTGTAGTTAATTTCTTTGTTCTGTGATATACATAAGTCTTGTATGTCAGGTAAAGTGGTGTGTACTTTGTCTCCTTTTTATTAACATTTTGTTTCTGTCTCCAGGATTCCTGGGATGGGCAGCATATTCCAGTTCTCTTCTCCATATTTTGTGGTTTGTTAGTGGCAATATCGTATCATCTCAGCAGGCAAAGCAGTGACCCTTCTGTACTTTTGTAAGTGACTCAGTTTGTATCTCTTCCCCAATGAAGAAGCAAATTGCAAGGAAAAACTACAAATAATGTTACTACTTCATACTGTTTTAACTTATACTCACCAGCACTAATCAAAAATAGTATAATCTTGGTTCAGTAGTTAGAAATCCTCACATTTTGCATCTAGTTCCTTCTCTAACAATGACCTTTTTTGTGACTTTTGGTAAATCACTTACATGCCAAAATCTGATTTAACTGCCTGCTGATTTTCTCCAGAATGTCAGTTAGGTGCCATCTTTCTGCTGCTGGGTTTATTTGGAATAACATGTACCCTTTTTTGTTTAAAGAGGTGCTCAAGGCACTGGTTCAAGCTGAAGTCTACAGGGGGACTTCTTGAATACTTCCACTTCATTGGTTGATATATTCTTATATTAAATGTGTGCTCCAAGCACTTGTTCAAAAAATTATGCTAAATTATAGGGATCTGGTTTTGTGATGAGTATTTCCATCTAGCATGGGGAAACAGGCATTCATGTTATTCTTAGTTGGAGTAGAGATCTGATGCTGAAGGTGTTTGATTCAGTTAATAATGATACATGTAAAAAAATAGTTCCAGTAGGAGAAACACCTCCCCAGAATAGCCAATAAAAGCTCAGCCACATACCTAGGTGAGACAGAGCTTGAACTTGGATTTAATGTAGCCACAAGGTTGGATGAATTTGATAAATATTGGCCTGGGGTGGATATGGAAGGACCTCCTCTGTGAACAACAAAACTAATGATGCATGAGTGTGTACACCAGAGGAAATTCCTTATCTTTGGGTTGACCACTAAACCTTGTCCAGTCACTCTTAGTTCAGTTGATATGAAGTTCTTTCCCCTAGATACTTGCTCTTTTGTTCTTTCCAAAAACTAAAGCCTGGATGCTCATGTTTGACTGTGGCACAGTTAAGCATTGTAATACATTGCAGTGTGCAATTTCCTTTGAAGATCTGGGGCTTATTCTGTAGTGATCTTCCTGTCCATAAAATGAAATAATTTTTCTGCACTCTGTAGGATATTGTAAGAAAAATCACACTGAGATGTTGTGAGACAACTTGTTATGGCTAGTAACATTGCACATGGGCTTCTAAAAGCTTAAGTGTAAGGTTTTACAGCTTTAATATCAGCAAGGCCTGCTAAGAATTTAGAAGTTTGGTCAGTATAGCTAATTAATTTATCAGGCTAGAAGAGGTTTCTTTTGTTGTTGCTGATTAATTATACCAAAGAATTAATGGGTTTTTTTTTTAATGTTAATTTTAAATGTTTTAAATGTTGCCAAATAGACTACTTCTAAATTTTGCATATTTCTTTTCAGTTATTTATGAGTTTAAGTTCTGTTTCATGAATGCTAGATTTGACTTAAAATTCAGCTTTTGTTCAATTACTCCTGTGTTGCTACTAGAGAAACTGTAGTTTGAATATCTGCCTGCTGCTCTTTAATAGTCACTGCTCTGTACAACAGAGAACTAATTCTTTTATAAAGTTGAGATCTCTGTAAATTTGCACAGCTGTGTGAAAGCACTGATGTGCCAAAATTAATTTTTGTGGTCAGTATGTAATAGAACTTCTGACTTTGTTATTATTATAAAACTACATAGAACAATATATGTTTTTCAGTGGGATTTTTTGGTCTTTCTTTAAAGCTCTTTAGTGCAATCAAAATTTTTTCCTAATTCTGAAGACAAAAACCCTGAGGATCCTCTGTCTGAAGTAAAAGATCCTTTACCTGAGAAGCTTAGAAATTCTGTGGTAAGTAGACTTTCTTATTATTATAGTTTTAATTCCATGTAAGCATTTGCTTTGTGTTGGTTTATATAGCACCCATCCAGATCTTGCTTAGATCACACTTGTCACTTAGCATGGTTCTAGTTAGAACAGATATCACAGCATTTCCTTTCAATCTGCAGCTGAACTCATGTGTTACATCTAGGAGTATAATGCTGGTGTTGCAATTTTAAGTTATTTAAAAGTAGAGAGAGATCAAATTCCCTGGTGTGGATTCAGTGAAATATCACTGAGTATCTTTTATCTCATGGATAATAATAGATTGCTTTTGTATAGAAGTTAGTGGGAAAGAGTTAAAGGTGGCAGAACTATATTAACTCAGTGTTTCTAATAATTGTGAGGAAGAGCTTTGTGCTTGCTGTTCCACAAGTGGAAATTAAAAATTATGGAAAGTATTTTGGGGCTTTTTGTGGTTTGTTTGGGTGGTCTAAGTTGTTTTGTTGTTTGCTTTCTTTGGAAGCAGATGTAACCTTTCCATTTATTTAAACACCGCTTTGAATTTTTAGTACAAATTCACTCAATATATATGCAAGTAGTAATAATTAAACATCATTCTTTTTGACACAATGTAGCAATAAGTAAGAGATTTAAGAAGCTTAAGAAGGTTAAATATTCATTTAGCTTTGTGTAGGGCTCAGCTTTAGGCTGAACTCTATAGCTAGGTTTTTCATAATACAGCAGTTACAAGCTGCTATTTAGATCAGAGAAACTGTAATTCTTTTAACATTTAGCAGGAAAGAGTTCCACAGGAGATGCAAGCTGCTCTTCAGCTCTCAAACTGTGGTGTTAGCCTCCAAGGGGGCAGAGGAGCTGAGGATTTTGATAATCTTACAGTGGTTTTTAAAATCAGGACAACTGATTTTAAAAAAAGTTGTAACCCAACAAGTTAAGGCTTTTCAGTAATAATTGCCGTGTGTAATTATATGGCCAATTTTGGAGTAGGTAATCCTTTAATGATTTTCTGGGCTGTAAATACTGATGCTGTTTTTACCGAGTGGGAACGAGTCTACACTTGAGGCTTCGAGTTGCAGCGGCCCTGAGTACGCATTGCCCCCTTGTGGCTGAGTCTGGCATTACTAGTCTTGAGGCGGGGCTTGCCCGTTAGCAATGGCTTTTTTTCATTGTTTAGGAGTAATGGAAAATTGAGACTCGCTCCTCGGTATTATTCCAGAGCTATCCTGTACCCTTCTGCAAAGAAGGCAGAAAAGGGTAAACAGCCTGGATTTTTCACCTAGTTGGTACCTGTGCCTTGGCAGCACTCTTCAAGGGCTCTTAATTGCCCTGTAGTTTAAACACTTCTTAGATCATAAAGGGGAAATTTGATTGTCCCTTCAAGTGCTTTCATCAGGGCATCCTAACACCATCTCACAGTCCAGGAGTAGAGAATATATTTGATATATTGATTTATCGCCCCCACTATGAGTCTTTCACTTTCACTTAGCTGAACTGAGGCTCTTAGCTGTAAAGTTTGTCTTGTGAAATTTCAAATAACTTCACTGGAAGTAGTTAATGATTCTAAGAGGCCAATCAAAGCTGGTATTTTCTAAAATTATTTTATTTTGACTCCACAGAGTGAACGATTGCAGTCTGACCTGATAGTGTGTATAGTCATTGGTGTCCTCTATTTTGCAATTCATGTCAGTACAGTATTTACAGTTTTACAGGTAAGATGTTACCTGGCATCTTCAATTTGCCTTCTTTATGTAAATACTCTGGTGTGATATAAAGTTTATTCTAGTAGTTCATTGAGTCTTCTGGCTAATTTTAGATGGTATTTAAACATATAGCATGATAAGTACATGACTGACTGAAGGTCTTCACTTTTATGTGCTCAAAAGATCATCTTAAGTCTTTCCTGGTTTCTTCTTATGTTTTAGACTTTCAGTATAGCTTCTGATACAAAAGACCCTCTTTTGAGTCATCGATCTCAGATAATGTCAGAATTGTTTTGAAATAAGGAAAAGTGAAACTTAAAATGTTAAAAATGCTTAGTGCTTCAAGTTTGAGGGGCTGAAACTTGACTCAGCAGTTCCATGCTGGAATGGCTCTTTGTAGACTATAGTATAGGGCAGTACACTTTACTGGAATGGTTATTTACAGGACTTGAAATATAATTTGAGTTTCAAGTTCTTGATTTGTCAATGTAACTAGTGCTTTGGATGCTTTTAATGTGTATGTGTGGCTCTTGATGATAATGGCATGGGACTAGATCCTGTGCTTGAATTTAAGTAAAGCATTTCCCTCAAGAGCTGCAGTTACTGAGTTTCTTATTTTGGTATTCCTATTATGGAACCATTGACTAGCATATGAATAGCCTTATGTAAGGCAAATGAAAATTTATAGCATGTATTTTAGAATACATGCTGCTTAAAGTAAGAAACTAATTTTAAAAAGCATATGCATTTAGGTAATTTCATGTCTTCATGGTAAAGTGTATTACTTAAGCATATGTACCTGCATATTCTGAGGAAAATATCCCTTCTATTATTGTATGGCTGGATTTCAGCACTCCGCTGAATGTTGCTTTCCCTCATGTTTGAGATACTTGGCTGTATGCTCTTCACCAGTAGTATATTTCAATAGGATTGCGCTTCACGGAATTCAGAGTTTATGACAAGATAATGCAATCCCAGTTTTGCAGTTATCTAAACTTATGTAGAAATTTAGAGAAAATTTTAATGCGTAGAAAGCATTATTGTAAAATCCAAGCATCATCCATTGTAAATTTTACAGTATTTTTGTGAGTTCTGTGGAAGGAATTGGTCTTGTGAGGCTTCTTAGCTTCTCAAGTGAATGTGAAACTAATGATTTGCTTATACCTCCTTTTATCTAGCAGATGGAAATGTAAATTGGGTTCAGCCTCTAGAGAATAATACCTTTATAAAATCAAATGCATATGGGTCAGAAGCAATGGACTGTAAAATAAGATTGGTGTACTGTTTTTAATTGGAAGCACATTTCATCTTAGACAAAATTTATTAGATACAAAGGTGTTTTTTCTCACAGGGTTTCTTGTTTTATATTAAAATTGGTAGTACAGTTTCTCATTAAGAGATTCATTAGTTTTGGGGGAGCACCTGCATATAGGAAAAGACACTAGCAAAGTAGTATTTTATTTTGTTTATGAAACATAAATCTTAATTTCTTCAATTCTTCTTCTTTTTAGCCTATTTTGAGTTATGTTCTCTATGCATTGGTGGGTACGGTGGGCTTTGTGACCCATTATGTTCTGCCTCAACTCCGAAAGCAGCTTCCTTGGCATTGCTTTTCTCACCCGCTGCTAAAAACCAAGGAATACCATCAGTTTGAAGTCCGGAGTAAGTATTGTTTGTAACACTTTCTTGAACTTGCTGTAGCTGCTGACCAACTTGTGTTACCTATTGATAAACTTATTCTCTTTACTATTCTCACCACTGGAATTTCATTGCATCTGATCTATAAATGTATTTGTTTCTCAGTTCCTCATGCTTTGATTCCATGACATTTTATATATCTCTTAACTGATTATGATGATGATGAGTGTTAACCTTATCTCAGAGCAGTCCCATTAAAACATAGTCTTGAAAATCTTAAGTAGCAGAGTTTGTGCTTATGATTGCCTCAAGAATTTTTAATAAAGATCAAGTGTGTTCCATTCTGTATTTGCTCAGTGTAGCAAGTTTTCAGATGTTTTATAGGATTAGATGTGGTGAATGGTGGTGGAGACTTCATAGTGGCACTGATTTGGTTTTTGATAGTATTGTTGACATGTTTAACAGCAGAAAATAGTGCCAGTGGTCCACTGATGGATGAAGACACCAAGGGACCTGTCTTACAACTTGAGCTGCACAGATATGTGCTTGCAGCCTGTGCTAAAGCCTCTGTTTTCATGGAATCTTTCCCCAGAGATGCAGAAAAGATGAAGTTACACTGCTTATAATTTTTCCCGGATGGATAACTGTTGTGGTACATTGTGTGGACTTCACTGCTGGAATGTTTTTATCGTTAACAGCAGACTTAAGAAATTCCTGTTTAAATTGCCTTGGAAACTACTAAAACTAGTTTGGTTTTTCTTTTCAAATAGTTGTCAAAACAAGAGAGCATTCTGCTGCTTTCAGGAGCAAAGAATTTTCAGAATTGATTTGCAAACTTTGTACCATTGTAGCAGCCATTCAATGTGGTCTTTTCGTTGATGTCTAACTTGTGGGATTTTTTTTCCCCAGTGACTGCATGTAAAGATGGATAAATATGTATAGCAGTTGTAGTATTATGTCAGACTTTATCTGGAAGAAGTGAAAAGTGCAACTGTGTGCCTTAAGTCTTTAATCTCTAAAACTAGAAAAGCTACAGTAGATGCCCTTTATGTATGCATCAACTTTTGACATTAAATCTTCTAGCCTATATTGTAGAAAAAAATCTATTGTAATTTGCAGTAATTTGAAACATACCTTACAGTATGCTTGTAGAAGTTTAAAAGAAGTGGCTCGAATGACAGACATTTGTGTTCGCAAGTTACATAAGCTCTTCTGTATTGTAGAGTTTTAAACCAGGAGTCCTTCAGATTAGAGTTAAAAAGCATCCTTTTGCATGAGATTAAAATGCATCATTTCAAACAGCTTCATCAATAGCAATGTTGAAATTATGGAAGAGGTGGACCCCAGTTTGTTTCCTTCTGTGTACAGTAAGCAAGTAGCTTACCAACTGTTCTGTTGTTGTGTGAACACTGCAAAAACTCTACTGGGGCTACAGACAGGAACGTCTCTTTATTTTGCTTAAATAAAACTACCAAAGTCCATTTTGAGAAAACAAGTTAATTGGGTGAAGTGTCTTTATTTTGTAACCAGAGATTTTTGATTTCACAGTGCCATCTGATTGCTTCTTTTCAATGTATCTTGACAGATGCTGCACATGTTATGTGGTTTGAGAAACTTCACATTTGGCTACTTTTTGTAGAGAAGAATGTTATCTATCCACTGATAGTCCTCAATGAGCTAAGTAGCAGCGCTAAGAATATTGCTAGTCCAAAGAAACTGGATACTGAGTAAGTAGAAAAGGCTATTAAGTAATCTTGAGTATGTCTACTGTGGTGAGAAATTAGATGGTGACTTGTGGCATCAATGGGAAGACAGAACACCTAATGCTATTGTCTTAAGAGTAAGGCAAGGAATAAATAAAGCTTTTCTCTATTTGAAAGCCTGTATAAAGCTGCCTTAAACTCATTGGAGAATTACACTGTTAAACTGGACAATCCTGCAAAGATAAATCATTCAACTTGCAGCATAATACTGTGAAGATGGAATGTTGTGGAATTACCTAGTAGTGTGATGTTTCCTTGTTGAGCTACCACATCCATCATGTGATTATCCAGATGGCAATTTCAAGATAGTGTTGATATGTTCTGGTATTTTATCAGGTGTAAATTTCAGACTTGTTCCCTGAGTTGGTGTGCCAGTGTGCTGCCTCTCTGCCCCTTTCTTCTCTCACCAAGGAATTCCTCAGGCTTCCTAGCCCCTAAGTATAATCCATATCCAGATGGAATTGCACACTGCTTCTTAAATTGAGTCATAGTTATAATCCCTTGAGCAGTGTATCTCATTGTCTCAGCAAATGATAGCTCAGTAATAGGCACTGCACTTTTTGCCTCCAAGAAACAGTAACCAGGTGTCTTTTTTGGATTTGAAGTTCTATTCGTTTAGAACAAAAGACTTATAAGTATTGAAACTAAACAGAAAATATTTTGTGGGAGCATGTTGTTCAGTTAATTTTGTGGGGTGGTCTGTGGCTTTTTTGACTTTCTTAATTTTAATCCCCGCATCTAGTAAGTTCTTGCTTTGGGTTCATTATCACAGTCACTATGAGACCTTTGGGAGGAATGTTGCCATTATCTTACTTTTAATTCTTTTTTTAATAACCTTTTGCTATGTCAGTTGCTATGTCTGAAAAAAACTCCTGTTCCCTCAATAGAAATTACAGCAGTAGTCACACAGGAAATGATAATCCAGTGTTCATTAACATCCTCTTGATGATTAATCTAGCATTTTTTATTTTAGTATTCATAACCTAAATTAAATATCAGGTTTCTCTTCAGACTACAAAGATATTTCATCTTGTATTTTTTTTCTTTTTTAGTGGCATGCATAGAAATTATCTTGAACATTGGTTGGCTTGAGAGTACTGATGAGAAGATTTAGATAGTAACCTTTTTTAAAAAACAAAAAATCAGAAGTTGTCTTTAAAAAACCAACAAATCATTAACACCCCCTGCCCACAATTCCAAAAGCAAACCCAAATCAAAGTTGGAATAGATTGTTATTGCATGACAGCACAACTTAAGTGGTCTTTAAACCCCTTTGAGATAACAGGTAATAATTGTTTTGTTGACTTCCTTACACAGGTTGGGTGCTTTAATGATCACAATAGCTGGCTTGAAGTTACTGCGTTCATCATTCAGTAGCCCAACGTGCCAGTATGTCACTGTTATTTTCACAGTGCTCTTCTTTACTTTTGATTACAAAAGTTTTACTGAGACCATGCTGCTAGATCTCTTCTTCATGTCCATACTCTTCAGCAAGGTAACTTTTAACTCTATTTTTAGGTGTTTCGGTTCATCCAAAGGGGAAAACAGATGGATAGTCCTATCTGATAGGTAATCTTGCAGATTCTCAGTCTTTTGTACTGTAGTAGATATACTGTAAGGCAGCTAAAGCTTCTCTTTCCCAAAGCATTTATGTTGGCTTGAGAAACAATATGTAACTTTCTAAACATCTCCTGAGTTTGTACATAGAACAATCAAGTGCATCTTATGTTACTTGCTTTTATAAATACATCCTTTTTCGAAGTCTCAAAGCTTCTGGTAGATCAGTAAGAACTCTAGGATGACCAGTAAATTCCTCAGGATGCAAGACATGTTGATTTTTAATAAAAATACTGAATTATTTTTCTCTTTTTTCCCCTGTAGCTTTGGGAACTCTTTTATAAATTGAGATTTGTATATACCTACATTGCTCCCTGGCAGATCACATGGGGGTCTGCCTTCCATGCTTTTGCCCAGCCCTTTGCTGTGCCACGTATCCTTTGAAAATGCAAACCTTCTTCTGAAGTTGTGTGTTTATAACTTCGGAGTACAGCATTATAATGGATTCTGTGTTATGGGGTAAAACTGCTGAAGGAGCAGGTTTGTCTAGTGAGTATTTAGAAAGAAGCTGTGCACATTTTCTACCTTGTTACAATGCTGTGAATGATATGGTAATGGTAGGAATGGCATCCTGATGTAAAAGAAACATGGACCACAAGTAATTCTGAAGAGCATATGATTTTATTTTTGGTAGTCATTCCTTTTACAGGAGTCACTCATTATGGTTTTAGACTTGAGTTTTGTATTTTAAACTTCTGTAGGCTGGTTTGAATGGAGCATTGTGTTAGTATTTTCAACTGAATTTTTGGGAATGACTGTCATGTCTAGTGCCAGATTTCCATCTATTTAAAAACAAAAACAATCCCTTTAAAACAAAAAGAATCCCCTTATTGCTGGAAATCTTACAAACATCTTTGCTGCATAGAAAGTCATAGAGATCTTGTTTTGCTCTTCATTGGTGTTATTGTCTGTATTGAACACAATCACAGAAGCTAAAAAAAAAGTAGTTGTTGCTTTGCTTTCCTTAATTCTATTATCCTACAGATTCTGCCATGTTGTTTGTCCAAGCAATTGTGTCAGCTTTCTTCTCTACTCCACTGAATCCTTTTCTGGGAAGTGCAATATTCATCACTTCATATGCCAGGCCTGTCAAATTCTGGGAAAGAGACTACAAGTAGGTGAAATAATAAAGTTTTAAATAATTTGTCTTTAATAGACAAGATATGTCTGAAGTGTTGGTTTGGAGTGTGTTTCTTTTTTAACTTGTGAATTTCTACTGACTTTTTTCTGTCAGAGAAAACCAGTATAAAGCACTGCAAATTTTTACTGAACTTGTTTCTGAAATACCGTAGCAGCTGTTCTTTACGCTAGGATCATTTGCTTCAGTGCTTAAGTAATTTCTACTTAGTGCTATGCCATCCTGGCGTTTTTAAACATGGAATTTAAGGCATTGTGAAGTGCAATTTTAATCAAAAAGTAAGTTTATGTGTTATGTATAACAAAGTTTTGGGCACCAGTTCACAGGTGTATTTTACCTGTATTCGTTATTGTTCTGCTCACAGCAAAACTGGCTTAATTGAATACAAAAATCTTTCAAAGTAAGTATTTTTTTTGTTCAAGGTGGGATCAGTAGTAAAAGAATCTTCAGGTCAGAATATGTTTCTTTTTGTTTTATTTCTCTTAAGGTCGCTATTGGTGATAGTGTATCAGACCAGTAAAATATTATATAAACAGTGCAGGACAAGTTGAGTGGAGATTTCTGGTATTTCTTATTTTCCTTCTAACATTACAACAGTTTAAATGAAATGTTCCAAATCTTAGATTAAAGTTATAGTAATTTCACATAATGAAAGAACTATCTAAAAATTAATCTTTCACTAAAGTCTACTTAACTGTTAGCTGAGCTGATTTAATTGGTCTTAACTTCTTCTCACATATAAAACTTTGATGCCTAGGAAAATATATGCACTTGCACTTAAAGTGCAAGATTATTCTGTGGCTTTTTACTGTGGACAAAGTTTATTAGACAATATAATGCTATCATACACAAAAAATACTTTTACATATGAGAAGAGCAGAAAATATGCATTTAAAATTATTTTTAAATAACTGTTTGAAACTATTTCATTGGGAATATTGAATACTATATTAGTAGCATCTTTTCCTAGACATTCTTGCAGTAATATATTTTCTATTAAGTATGTTTTATTTTATTCTTTTCAGCACAAAACGTGTGGATCATTCAAATACTAGACTGGCTTCACAGCTGGATCGGAATCCAGGTATAAATTTTGGTAGCTGGTTTGGAGATTTTGGATGTTGCTTGATTTGAGGGGGAGGGGGCCACTTGTGAAACGGATGGGTGGGTTTCTTTTTTTTTTACTTTTAGGGGTGAATTTTCTTATGGTGGCTTTTTTTTTTTTAATGTAAATGGCTTTTATTGGATTTTTATAGGATTTGTGATCACTTTGCCCTCTGATCTTGTCCAACCATGCCCGACATCTGTCACACTGTCTGTTAGTTTTTCTTCTGTCATCTCTCTTGCTTTATTCTTTAGGCTCTGCCATAAGATTTTTTATTTCACTCCTAGGTTTGTGTTCCTGCTTTACCTTTTTACTTATAATTGTAGTAGGTATTAAACTGTTTTGCTTTTTATTCTTGAGTGATTTAAAAACTACCAACTATTATTTGAGGGTGTCTCAATGTCATGGTAATGAGATGAATACAACAAACATTGAGATGTCTGTACTCATTTGCTTCTGCCCTTTATTATATTGAATAGGTTGATGGGAGGTGCATGAATGGAACTGAAGGAATAATTTGGAAAATGGAGGAGTGACTAAGAAGAAATTTGTTCAAAATACAAATGTTATTTGGCATTCATTTGGAGTATTTGTCCCATAAAAAAGGGAAAGTGGGGGATAAATCATGACCTTGAAACAGCATTGTGGTTAAGAAAAAGATAGAATTCAATGTGAAGTAATAATTGACATTCAAGCTTGATGTTTTTCTGCAGTTTCAGATAACCTAAATTCAATCTTCCTGCAGGTTCAGATGATAACAACCTGAATTCTATCTTCTATGAGCATTTAACCCGTTCCCTTCAGCACAGCTTATGTGGAGACTTGTTGCTGGGTCGCTGGGGAAACTACAGTACTGGGGACTGCTTCATCCTAGCCTCTGACTACCTCAATGCACTAGTACACCTTATAGAGATAGGAAATGGCTTGGTCACTTTCCAGCTGAGGGGGCTTGAGTTCAGAGGTGAGTATCTTAGATGTCCTTAAGCACTAAAAAGTAGGATTCTGCTTTGGAAACTCAAGTTATTTTCAGTTGTATCCTGTTAATTAATTGCTTTGAAAATGGGCTACTGGGCCTCTTGATGTTCCTGTAACTTGATGCTAAATCCCTCTTTCCATTTTAGTGTAACATGGATACATCTTAGTGAAACCTAACTAAAGTGGAATCCTAGAGTGATAAATTAACCTAAATCTTTTGTGTTTATTGGTGGATAGTTCACTTAGTGTTAAAATAATTTAATTGGAAATAGATTGAATTTTAAAGTCTTCCAAACACAAGTTCACATTAAAGCAGTCATATAAAGCATTAAACTCTGTCTTCTTTCCTCTGTTTTCTCCTAAGGAACTTACTGTCAGCAACGAGAAGTAGAGGCCATCACTGAAGGTGTAGAGGAAGATGAAGGTTTTTGTTGCTGTGAACCAGGCCATCTTCCTCACATGCTTTCCTTTAATGCTGCCTTTGGGCAGCGTTGGCTGGCTTGGGAAGTGCTTGTAACGAAGTATGTTCTGGAGGGTTACAGCATCACTGACAACAGTGCAGCTTCCATGCTTCAAGTCTTTGATCTCCGGAAAATTCTCACCACTTACTATGTGAAGGTGTGGTTCAGCTCAGTGCAGCCCGTGGGGGGAGGCCGGCTGGGCTACACTGGGAACTGCTCAATGTCTTGAACCCATAATGTCCGTCACATGAGGATCATAGCGTGAGCTGGTAATTGCAGCTGTATGAACACCTTCTGCAAAGGAGGACAGTTTGTGGTACTGATGGCGACTCAGTCATCTGGCACATGAGCAGGGCAATGACCATGTACTCTAGATCAGAGGGAGGACACCTCCTAGCTGAAGCTGGAATAGAAAATTTAAAACTGTTACTCAAACACAATAGCTTTGTTGTAAGAGAAGAGTTGGTTAGTTTCTTTAGAGAAAGCCAAGCTGCTTTAGTCTTCATAAGCTGTCCAAACTCATCTTTGATTCTTAAATAAGAAACAAGCCCTCTCTTCCAGTTTTAAGACAACTGTAGCCTCAGATCCTTTCAGGTAATCAGTGTACTAATTGAGATTTTTCATAAGCTACTCTCTTACTGAGAGCTGAAAATTTTCAGGTTAATATATTTCCAAGATACTTATTCACACAAGTACACAAGTGGTGTTCCCTAGCACAGCAATCTTAAAATGTTTTGTGTTTTAGCTTTTTTAAAGTTTAGAATTCTTTAGAAATTCTATATGTAAGCCTTCATGGTAACTAAATAAAAATTTCTATGTATTTGTTTTCTGCAAGAATTACAGTGAGGATTCTATACCATCCTTCTTTTCCTTATTCCTTCAATGTAGGCTTCAGAAATCCTGACGGTCTTTGAAAAATACTCCTATATGCCGCCTGTATTGTGTTTTCTATGCAAATCTCTTGTACCTGTGAGCAATTTAAATGCTACTGTATATCAGTTCTGTTCATTTCCACAAAAAAAATCAAAGAAGTTGAAGCATTGAGATTGACTGTTTTTTTTTTTAAATTGCAGTATTGACTCATATTTTTAACTGCTGCTGTTTCAGGGAATCATCTATTATGTCACAACATCCCCCAAGCTAGAGGAATGGTTAGCTAATGAGACAATGCAGGAGGGACTGCGGCTGTGCACAGACCGCAATTATGTGGATGTAGACCCAACTTTTAACCCCAATATTGACGAGGACTATGACCACCGTCTGGCAGGGATCTCACGAGAGAGCTTCTGTATGATATATTTGAACTGGATAGAATATTGTTGCTCTCGAAGAGAAAAGGTAAGCATGTGAGGAAAGCTATTCACTAGGATGGTGTCACTTTTTTCCTGTTGGTTTGACTTACAGATGGCTTTAATGCTGACTTTTAAAATAAGTATGTATAATTCTAGTATTTCGATTTAAATGGTTTTGATCCTCCAGTTCTGAGATGTGAATTTAATAGATTCAGGGAAGGAGTGTACTTTTTAACCAGTTCATTAATGAATTTTATTTGCCACCTCAAATCCAACCAGTTGAATCTTAGACATTTATCTACATGCAGAAGGGTATGTCTGCAGAATTGATGTTTTGTACTTAGGGTTGATTAGTGAACACTGATACCTAACTTAAACAAAAAAACTCCAAAACAAAAATCCCTAAAACCCAAGATACCTATTTCCAGCTTAGACTCATTCCTTTCTCAGTGATCACATTATACCATTTCCTTGGATCACTGGAATTGTTGGCTTGTGAAAACAATCATCCTACATTCAAACTTTTCTTCTTTCCACAATCCTTCCACCTTTTAAATAGGAGTATTAGTATATTTGTAGAGGAATGCCATGACATTTTACTGTTTACAAAATAACTGTGTCAAATTAGCATTGCCTTTAGAATAAGCGGAAATTGATTGAAATTAAAGGGACAGGAATATAATTGGAATTTACGTGTTTAATGAGAGACCCAAGACTTAAGGGTTCAGTTTGGCTTTGGAGGTAAAAGATCAGTTAAAGCCAGTTTTAACAGGGGTAAGACTTAGTGTCCTGTGGTCAAAGGACAACAATCAAAGAACATATTTCCCTCCAAGAAATGAACATGAACCATTTTCTATATGTATTGAAAATCAGATTTAATCACTTAATTGAATGCCATTAATTAAGCAATTGAATTAATGACATTATATACTATTAGCCTTGAACTGAGGGCAGATCTCCCCTAACCAACCCCTTGACTAAAGCTGTAGTCTAGGGAAGTAATCAGGCAAATCAGGCTTGAATACTCCTAACCAGTGATAATCCACTGTATTCACAGAAAATACTTTACTCTAAACCCTGTAATTTATCTAATCACCAGTTTCCCTGCAAGATACACAACATGGGGAGTGCAGCATGCATCTGTTTAGATTACAGTTTGTCTTATTTCAAATAATCACATATGTATGTTCACCTTTACAAGTATTCTTAAATACTTACAAAACTCTTGCTCAGACTTGGAATCAGAATTGGTTTTTTTTAAAAGTGACTGCTGTGGTAGGTACATACATAAACGTGAGAAATGCTGCATTTGGGTCTTTCAACTCTGTCTGGCAGAATCTTGCTTTTCAGTGGCCACTTCTTTATTCTATTCACCTAATTAATTTTTTTCTTGTGTTATTACAAGCCACTGGATTCAAGTAAAGACTCACCCCTAGTGACATTGTGTTATGGACTGTGTGTTCTGGGGCGGAGAGCATTGGGAACAGCTTCACATCATATGTCCAGGTAATAAAATGTTGTTGCTGTAAGTTTCCTGTCCTCAAAATGCCTCTGAGTTCTTAGATTAGGTTTTAGATTAATACCTTTTCTTAGGAGAAATAGATAATTAATGTAATCTTGCCTTAAACTGGGCAGATTTCCTGTGTAACTTGTCTTCATTACAACAGCCAGTGAAGTGTAACTGAAGAAGAGCAAATGAGGGAGAACTTGTAGCTAAGCACATTGTTTTATTGAACTAATTCAAGATGAGAGTTCTGGTATGGGTAAGGACTAGTTATAACCAGTTTGGAACTGACCGAGTTCTAAAAATAAGCTCCATTTCCTGCACCAACTAGATAGCCTATATGGAAATAAGGGGAAAAAGAGGTAAGTTTCTTAAAATAAAAAAACTGATACATGTTGGTGGATGTGTTAGATGAGAGCATTGTGGTAAATATCACAGTTTAGGTGTCTCTTTGGCAAGCAGATGTCTTTTGTACAAATCTTCAGCTCAAATCTGTTGTCATATGGCAACTTTCTTGCAGATTGACAACCTAAATTTTAGAAAGCAAATGTAAAATACAGCTATAAGGTTCAGGAAATCACAAGGTGATGGCTTAAAAATAAGCATAATTGGATGTGGAAGCTATTGGTCAGTTGGATGCTGGCTATAAAACCTGTTCTACTTCAATTTCAGGGCAACTGTTAATTAATTCCTCTAAGTACCAGGTAATTGCTTCTTGAAGGTCGTGTATATGTGGATTTCCAAGATTCATCATAGCATATTTGATTCTTCACTCTTAAGTTAGCTTAGTAATTGAAAACAGTGCCTTTTAAGCATGAAAAGTTAACAGCATTTTTATTTTGTTATAAAGTATGGACAACTGAAGTTGGATACCCTTTAACTGTTGTGTTAACCTGTAAAGTTTTGCCGTCAAAAATTTTTAGAATTAAACCACACACTCCTCATGATATTTGTTTACTTTAGTTCATGTAGATAATCAGTTGCATGTATAGTTTGTTCATTACCTGTTCATTGCAGGCAGACATCTGATGCACCAAATTTTTTTACACACATATATTTTCCCTCATTTATCCTGAAGCTTACCTTGGTAGAGAAGAATTATGTGTCTGTGCAGCTCAGTAGTTTCTTTGCAGTGATGATAACTATGAATATGTTTGTACTTCTGTTAATATGTGGGTTGTTTTCATTTTTTCCCCCTCAACAGTAACCTGGAATCCTTCCTGTATGGCCTGCATGCCCTATTTAAGGGTGACTTCCGTATATCTTCAATTAGAGATGAATGGATCTTTGCTGACATGGAATTATTGAGGAAAGTAGTGGTCCCTGGAATACGGATGTCACTGAAGCTACACCAAGTGAGAGATTACACAGAAAGATGTGTCCAGTTTTTTATTTTTGTGCATTTTTTCGTTCAAAAATTAGTGTCTGGGAGAAAGAAAAAATAGGATAAGAATAAAAAGACTGATAGAAATTGACTACTGAAAATAAGAGACTATTCTGTCTTGTCCTTTGATTTATTACAGCTTTTGTGGGAGGTGATACAGAGGAAAAGGGAATGCTGTTTATGCTCAGAGCTTGAAAATTACATTAACTGTAGATCAGAGAACATGTCAAGCTCTGTTTCATACCTATCTGGAGATTTCCCTTATGAACAGCTCCTCTGGTATTTTCCGTCTTCCCTCCCTACACATATGTAGTTGGTTTAAGAGGTTATGCGTTCAAAGCTGCATAGTCCTCTCCTCCAGTGGGAGTTGTTTTTCTTGTTCTTTTTACTTTGAAGTGTTGTAATCACAGGCTTCAGGTGAGAATGAGAAGGCTGCTTTTCCATAAGCTGAAATTAGAGTTTGTCTTTGTAGTGAAGTGTGGGTGAAGAGGAATGATCTCGGATTTTGTTCAGTGCATGTAGTAACTCAGCAAGTACAAGAAAATGTACTTAGTGATCAGCACTCTGTAAGGGGGGAGAAGTGTTGGCATTTAGGAAGAATAGATTGCTTGAAAAGCAATAAGTAAACAAATCTTAGTTGCATTTTAAAAATTAATAAATAAAGGTTTCTTTTTTTGCCTTCATTGCAGTTTGGAGTCTCCCAAAACTAGCAGTGATTGAATTAACTTATTCATGTAACACAAAGTCTCTGAATCTAGGAGAATGTGTGTGATAGCAGTACATACAGCAAAGCAGAATAATTGCCAAATCATTGTTGAAACCAGCAGAAGTACCACTTCAACAGCTCTCTAAGTGTTCTCAAAGGGTTGCTGTGCAAAATGGGTTTGATTGAAGTCAAACAATAGAAGAGTGAGAAAAAACCAGCTCATACTATCAGTGAAAAAATAAAAGTTCTGACCATTATTCTGTTAATTTGTGAAAGATGATTTAATTCACTTGTAGTGCATGAACAAACTCAGGCTTCAGTCACTGTGGAAATTTAGCTATTAACCAAAGCTAAATCCTTTTTTACCCAGAAAGTAATGTTATGCAATACTGACTTGAACTTGGAGGTTTTGTGTTTTGCTTGTGTTGTGTTTTGCAGTGTTAATTTGACTGACAGTAATGTAAGTTGTCTTGATAGTAATTTAAGTTACTTTGATTCAGGAGAAGTTTGTCATCAAGTATTAATGTGAACTTTTTAATAGTAAATATTGTTTTTCTTATTGGTATTTTCATATAGTACAATCTCAGTGAATAATCAGTGCTTTAGAGTGTTTTACAGTTTTGGAGGCTTATGAATAAGAAGCTAAAACTAAAAAGCTTCTTCCAACATTATAAATAGATAAAAATCTAGTGTAAAATTCACCTAGAAATTTACTTTGAATCCGTGATAGGCAGGTCCTTCCAATCATTTCGGTTTTAAGGTGAAAAAGAAGCAAATACAAGCAAACAGAACCAATCTGTTGTAAAAGAAGTTATCTTTAACTGTGTTCTAAAGTAGGTATTTTATACTTTTGATGGCTAACTTTATGTAATGCACTGATAATTTGAAAAGTTTGAGGTGTGAAATGTTTTATTTTTATATGTAGTTATTACATCTGAAATGATAATCATACCTTAATGAGCATGTATTATTGGAAACAGGATCACTTCACTTCTCCAGATGAGTATGATGATCCTTCTGTCCTTTATGAAGCTATAACAACTCATGAAGAAAATCTAGTTATAGCACATGAAGGGGACCCTGCGTGGCGAAGTGCAGTTCTTTCCAATTCTCCATCCCTTCTTGCTCTGCGCCACGTGATGGATGATGGCACCAATGAATATAAAATCATTATGCTCAATAAGCGCTATCTCAGTTTCAGAGTCATTAAGGTAAGCTTTGTGTACATTTCATAATGTGACAGCAAGTTGGGGTGTATTTTAATAACTATACTAAACTATTTTAATAACTATACCAAACTGCTGCCTCAACTGAAGTCTTTACTGTTTTGTTATTAATAGGGCTGGTTCTTCTCATACAGTGTAAGTATTGTATCAGAAAATCAGTTTCTTCTCACTTCTCATCCCATTCTTAAATTTCTTTATCCTCACTGTTGCAGCCTGTGTCCCTAAGTTCAGCCTGTAGAAGAACTGAGTGTGAATGCTGGCAGTTCTGCAGTGCAATACTGCATGTGCTCACGAAGGCTTTGGTGTAACACAGCAGTCACCACATGCTCTCACTGCTTCACTTGGTGACACAGCCTCTCTTCTTGGCTTTTGCAGGTCAATAAGGAGTGTGTACGTGGCCTGTGGGCAGGACAACAGCAGGAGCTTGTCTTCCTGCGTAATCGTAATCCAGAAAGAGGAAGTATCCAAAATGCTAAACAAGCTCTGAGGAACATGATCAACTCTTCTTGTGACCAGCCAATTGGATACCCAATCTATGTCTCACCTTTGACTACTTCCTATTCAGATAGTCATGAGCAACTAAAGGACATTCTTGGGGGAGCCATCAGCTTAGGAAACATCAGAAACTTCATAGTGTCCACATGGCACAGGTGAGCTGAGGAAAGGGGTTCTCATACGTATGTGTTCATGCTCTCATATTCCATTAACTAGTCTTGCACAGGCCTAACACAGCATAATTTATAATATTCAGTCACATTAAATAAATAAACCTTGACTGTTATTTTAGGCACATCAGTAACATATGGCAACTGCTTTGGTACAGGATTAATCTCCAAGGCTGAGAATATAGCACAAACGATGTAAATGAGAGCTCAGAGGAAAGAAGACAAAGTCTAGATGCAGGAACTGCAACTTCAGATCTAATGCTACGTCTGATAATGAGAGACAATACAAATTCTGTACTGTGTTTTTTCAGTATGATGGCTTTTGCAATCTATAATACCATCTTTACAGAATAAGGACTGTTTGGTAGGGTTCCTGTCTGGCAAATATTTAGCATGAGAGTGCCTGTATTAATGTTTCAGAGCATGCTCATCCATAGTTACACAAGCTTTAGCTGTTGTTCAAAATCTCACAAGTACTTACATAATACTGTATGTTAGTGCCAGAGCAAGTAACTGGAATAATATAATTATTGCCCCATGTGACCCCTGGGTAATCCAGTACAAATGCTTGCTGTGCTGTGTTTTATAGGCCGTCAGAACTTTTACTGCACTTCTGGCCCTCTATGACTGTGCCTCCAAAAGCAGCAGTGGCAGTTGTGTGGCATTCAGAAATGTGCACCCCAGTTCTTAGTAGTTCCAGGAGCTTGTGCCATGGTCTGAACAGTCCTGTAGCTGTCCTGATGGTTGTATTTATCTTGGACATCTACAGCATATCAGAACAGAACATACTGCTTCACCTAGAGTGCCAAAAATGCCACATTTACTGCAGTCTTTGATATTTGTCTCCTATTGCCATCAGCTTGTCCAACTTGATAGAATAACTGGCAAAAGCGTGATACACAACAGTATTTGAATCCAAGGTTTATGCTTCAGGATTCTGTGTCCTGGGACAAAAAAATTGGAAAGGGATGCTCAGTGTACTTGAGTGTGACAGAAAAGAAAATTAAAAGTGGGAATTGAAGGGAGGAGGAGATTGCTGTGGTTTTTGTGTCCATTTGAAGTTTGCTAGTGTAAACAATGTGTTGAAAAAACTGTGTGGTTATGTATACTGGAAAATGGTGGCTAACCTACTGTCTGAATGTTCAGTGTGCACTTCAAACAATTGTGAGTGCAATTCTGAAGGTAACAGAAACCAAATGCATTAAAAATCCAGTAAATATTGTTTCCTTGCTAGTCTATGTAGACAAAGATTTTCCAGTGTAACAGTTATATATGACTAGTGTGTTAAGTAGCAAAGTTTTACTTAACTTTTCTAAAATAACCAGGATGTTCTATAAGTATTTGAGTTGGAATTTTATCACTTTGTTGTACTTCAGAGTGTGAGAAATAACTGCTTACTTTAAAAATTTTGAAAGGTTTATTCAACCTTAACAAAAAGTACAAAATTACTAAATAAGGAAAAACAGTCCTGGAAGCCTCCCGTGGCTGCCTACCATGTGTCTGGCTCATCTTCAAGATGGATGCTTTGCCTTTTGTATCCCTGGGGGTTGCATCAGCCAAACTTGACCCCTCCCAAAGTCTGTCAGTCAGCTCTTCTTCCCAACTGCCTCATGCAAGGGATATATGTACATGCCTTCTTTCTACCTGTCCTAGACAACCCAGGCTGTCTGGTGGCAGCAATACAGAGGAGCAGGGGGAAGGGGACTATGGGGAGAACAGAGGATACCTAAACAACAAACTACAATAACATAACTATTCATCAATAAAGCTTCTCTTAATATACACCCAATATTCATCCCTTAATTGTGAGAGCCAATCATCTCATTATCTATCTATAACAAGAGGTGGCATAATTTTTAAAAAGTCTTAATTTATATGAGCACTTGTCATAAATTGTTATTGAATAGCTGTCATGAAAAAAATTGCAATATCTTAGAAAGCAGTATTTATATTTGCAAAGCATATTCTGAGAAAATAAAGTCAAGTTTTAACAATTTTAGGAATTGCTGTGATTGTGCTGATCCTTTTGCATGTCATGAAACATTTCTTAGAATATTAATGATTAGGACGTGTGCCTTAATGTATCACTTATATTATGTTTCCAGACTAAGGAAAGGCTGTGGAGCTGGCTGCAATAGTGGTGGAAATATTGAAGATTCAGATGCTGGAGGTGGAGCTTCTTGCACAAGTAACAATGCTACTATCAATGAGTCACAGAGCAGCATGTCACAAGGAGGAGGGAATGCAACTACAGGGCAGGGACCTGGAGCAGTACAGCACCCTCCTGTTGCAGCTCATCCCACAACCTTTCCTGCAGCTCATCCACCAACTCATCCCTCCACTCTGGGTAAAGTTAAAACAAAGAAACAACTTCATACCAGTTTGGTCCTATAGCCAGAACAGGCCTTTCAGCTCTTTGGCCTAAGTTAAAAGAAAAAGCAAACTAAAGTGATGTGATTTTATGTTGTGTTAAGAGCTGCTGGATTCATCTCAAACCTACAGTCCTGTTTTATGCAATACAAGGTTCCCAAACGGATCTGATAAATAGGGGTGTAGTTGTGCTGACAAAATAGATCAAATAACTTTTTATAACAGGTTTCTACAGACTGGATCTTTTCACTTCTGTTGATTGAAAATGCTGAACTCCTTATTTTTTGCGAGTCTTTGTATTTCTTATATAGTGAAGCGTTCTTGTATTTGCACAATATTCTTGCTGAATCTATCCAAGGGTCCATAGTGATCTGTAGTTAAGGAGGCAGTAAACAGTAAAGCTGAGAAAGTCTTTCAAACATTGCCTTTACTCGCAAAGAAACTACAGATGTATGTAGTTGTAGGAACATAATTAGATCTACCAGCTGAGGAGTTACCTGCAAATATTTAGTATAGGAAAAGCAATTACAGCAATGCTCGTGAACTGCAATCTCTGTTTTTAACTTTAAGTGTATTAAATTTGAACTTGTTTTAAAATAGTTTTTATTCTAACAAATCTTCTGACCCAACCTTTGAACGTGTAATCAAGCACATTATTTTGAAACACAGGCATGTGTACCTCTCTTTCTGCCTTAAGTATGGTAAACTGAAGTGCTAATATTAAGTAGGAAATTGTTAATGCAAAAACTTCAAGACTGAAGCATTTTTCAAGCTACTTGTCTGATAGAGATTGTGAATTGAACAGAATATGCAATTGTGAGATAAGATGAATGGAATGTATTGAAATGTTCTGCTATGTGAGATGCAGCAGAGATCTTCTGCAATACATCTGTTTCAGATGATTTGGTTAGACCAATCAATTTTGTATATCTGTGCACTAAAACATTTGTGTGTTGGCAATCTATTGTGTGGGGGAGACTTTATCAAACTTTCCTGATTCTGTATCTTTTACTTTTAGGCACCAGTCACAGCTCTCACTCTGTGCAGTCCAGCCTTGTCAGACATTCCCCTGCCCGTGCCTCAGTAGCTAGCCATTCATCCTACTGCTACGGCAGCCGTCATTCATCTCTTCGCACATCCACAACAGGCTTTGTGCCTTGCCGGCGCTCTTCCACCAGTCAGATATCCCTTCGTAACCTCCCATCATCCATCCAGTCCCGCCTGTCTATGGTGAACCAAATGGAACCTACTGGCCAGACTGGGGTCAGCGTGCAGCATGGACTGCCCTCTTCTAGCAGCTCCAGCCAAAGCATCCCAGCCTGTAAACAGCATGCCCTTGTGGGCTTTCTAGGGACAGAAGGAGGGAGTAATGCAGCTGAAACTCAGTCAGGTGGCAGTGCAAGCCCTGCAAACCAAATGCAAGCCAAAAAGGATGACGTTATTTACAGAATCCAGGTGAATAGTCTAGAAGAACAAGTAAACTTGTGTTTCCACGCGCTTTTATTACTTGTTCCTTTGTATGTTGTTGAAATCGCTAATTACAAATACGTGTTCTGGAATATCTGGTGTACAGTTTCTGTGCAGTTATGTGGAGAATTAATGTAAAGAAAAGGTTTTCTGGACAAGCAGCCTTCCTGTATGTTCCTTGTCTACATTATTTTTCTGTTTTGCTGTAGTGCAGCTCTGAGAATGTCAGTGGAGCTCAGTTCCACTTCATATTTAGTTTACCTTTTATACTTTACAGCAGGTAAAGCTAAACGGCTTCATTTGCAGGATAGACAGCTTTTTTCTTTGAAGCCAAGTAGATTTTCCACAAAAGTAAGTGTAAAATACTTGCTTTCACTTTCATATGTATTTATTCTTTGTTTATATCCACTTCAGGGTTTACTGAGCAGCAAGCATTTTACTATTGACTAACTTAATCATGGCAGCCTTACTTATTTTGTGAAAATCCAGGAATGTATATTCTTGCTTTCTTAGCTTTTATTAGCCCCACATACATGTCTTTGGCATTATACTTGTGGGAAACCTCAAGAAGTTTATTTAAGAGGTTAGATCATAATAAACATGATTTCATTGGTGATACTACCCCAGTTTAGAGTAATCCTTAGTAAATTGCATCATAGTGGGCAAAGTTAAATTAATTTTTCAGGTCTGTGCTTAATAGCTTTTGTTTGCAGGCAAGGGCCCTTTTATGAAGCTGCTTACTAATCCTCTGTGTGAGGAGGATAAAGTGGATATGTGCCCTTGGATAGTGGACATTATGGAGTTCTCTCTGTCCTTAAATAGGAAGAATTTTTCAGGAGATTTCTCCTGCTTGTCCTGTGGAAAGGCCAGTTTACTTCAAAACACAGGGTGGGTCTCAACTAACAATGCTAGTAGATAAATACTTCTGCCTAACGATGAATTCCCCAAGTTTCTTAAGGTATTCTGTAAGAAGTAATGAGCCTATTGTAACAGCTCATAATCACTTAACTTTTCTCTGCTACTGGACTGTGTGCTGCCAATGCTTTTGTTGTGCCATCTCCCCAATCCTGCCATGAGCTAGTATAACTGAAAGAGGTGGGGAATGGAACCGGAGCTGTTGCTTCAGTGAACTGGCATACTCACCATATTCACTGGTATCTGAAAACACAGCATCATTTCCAAATTCAGTGCTTTTTGGGCTTGGAGAGCCTGGAGCTCAAGTTTCCAACCTTGAAATTGGTCAGAAATCAATGTCAGTGGGTTAAAGTCAGTTATCTGGAATTATGCAAAAGGTTACAGTTTATCTGTTTCTTTTAATTTTGGCTGAACTAACAGTCAAAACTCAATTCCTACTTATAGTTAATGGATCCCAGTCAAGTACTGGAAGGGATCAACGTGTCAAAAAGGAAAGAGCTGCAGTGGCCAGATGAGGTGATACGGCTAAAAGCTGGAAGAAACAGCTGGAAAGACTGGAGTCCTCAGGAAGGCATGGAAGGCCATGTAAGTTTTGCTTGGAAGTTGGCAAGCTAACCTTAAAAAGGGCAGTGTCTTGATTCTGCGGCAGTCTGCCTATATGTCAATGCAAATATCGATGTAGTAGGTACGTTAGGTCAGCAGCTGTCCTCAAAGTCACTGTTGCTGGAAGAGCAGGTCTAGAATCCTAATTCGAGGCAGAGAGCCATTTCTACAACTCTGTGCAGAAGACGCAGGCTGATGTTTCAAATGTTGTAAGCCACCACTCCTTCCTTGCCTTCTTTCAGCTTGTCATGATTTCTCAGCATTGCTTTCATTCATCCAACATTCATTTTCCTTTCTTTAAATTGTCAATCCCTGAAAAGATTTACTAACAAGTAATTGAAAGATTAACAACATTTTGTTTTAAATTATTCTGATGAAAATAAGAGTTTTTACATGTCTCTTTATTATATGATAGATACATGGTAGGTGTTTACTTTAAGAAGGAAATCTGTTTTAACTAAAACTTTTGAAAGCCTATGACTTGAAATTGTGTCTTTTCCGTATGGATGTTACATTTGCAGTTTACAAAAATTCACTGCACTGGCTAGAAAACCCATCTCCCAATTTAGGCTCCTTTTATGAGCAAAAAACCCATTGTGGTCTTTGAAACCTTTTGATTTTTACTGAGATGTACTTTTGTTTTAAGATCTTGATGCCTATAAATATGCTCCAGTATTCTCTCAGTGATAGAGGGAAAAGTCACTGAAATGGTCTACAACTGTTCTTCAATACAACTGTATTTTTATTTGGAATAGATCAGTTTTGAAGAAATTTCTTTGACCACTTACCTTAGTTGGAGACATTATTTATAAATTGCTTTTAGGGATAGATTTTGCCACTTGAAAGTCCACATCACTGTGGATATATATGCAAACTTCAGCTAGGAAATGGAGAAATGCCAGTTACACAGTGTACACTGTATCTACCTTGCTGTTGCATCAACATCAAGAAAAGGCCCTGGAAACACAATTATTCATGGAAGCAATCTGCCAGAGTTGACATCCCACTCTTGGGACAGTAGGGTTACGTTGTAGATAATACCTGTGAATGCTGTTGTAAATGTTCTCAGTTATCTTGGGTTTAGACATACTATTGCAGATCAAGAATGTGGTAAAGACGGTGAATGTAAAGGGTTATATTGAAACATGTCCTCTTGCATGGTGTCACTGGACAATTCTTTTCAGGAGTTTGTGAGTGTGTTCTGTGAATTGCAGCATGCTGATACATACAGTGATTGATGCTATAGAAAGATTAAAACAAGAGGATTTAAAGGTCAGCGTAAGCGGTTGTTCTGAATGCTTCTCATCTATTTTTGGTGCAGCATATAAGCAGGTTTTTTTAGAAGAGCATCTTTTAACCTTACAAGAAAGGGGGAAAGCACCAGATTATCCTGAGTGTGATTAGGAGGAAAGGATTTAACTTGATAACATGGTTTCCACTGCCTGCTTCAGCTGCCTGTGGTTAAACATACTAGTATCAGTAAGGCTCTTAGGACAGTCCTCCTTTTCGGATCCTGTGGCTGTGGTCCTTTCTGAGACTAGGCAGAAATTATTCTTACCTGCTGAGTTGCTGCTCATTTAGCAGTTTACTTTATGTCTGTTCTCAGTATGAAGTTCAGCACTCAGTGGTTTAAAACTTCGCTGCTGCTGAAAAAAGCCTTTTTCCTAATTTAGTTTATCTTACTAAGTATGCAGTGCAATGTGTGTATAAGTGAGAAAGACATTATAAGGTTTCTTCAAAGAAATTACGTTTAGCAGTCCTCTTTGGAATGTAGCTGCTTTTTCCAGGTTTTAAGAGGGTATGCCCAGTATTATCTTTCTATGATACATGATTCTGGGGTGTAGAAGAACCCTTTTCCTCCAAGAGATTCTTACCACCTCTTGACTATCTAGTGACAACATTTTGCTTGTACTAAATAAATGCCAGTCATTATAGAAGAGATGGTAAAACTGAGTGTGGCAGTATGGCAGTGATGAGTTTTAATCTGTGTACAATTTTTTGCATATGCAAAGTTTTTAAGGAGCCATGATATCGATGCCTGTAGCAATCTCAAAGGTACCGGTGTTAAATTGAAAACTATATGGGCACACTTTGGAGTCAGACTTGAACAGACACTTAAATATCATACTGTAGCATCAGAGGAACTAAAGATGCTGTGCTTCCCTGGCTGAACTCTCTCCTTGCAGCATAGATCTCATGGAATGGACAAAGCTAAATGTCCTTCACCCAGTGTTAAGAGAAATTGCCATCTGTGTAAAATGAAGATTAAGTGAGTCTCTTGGATTTGATCTTGGAAGATTGTGGTTTTCTGTCTTTTTTTTTTCTTTTATATCTTTAGGGATATCTTGAAAACTTTACTGCTGTGAAATTTATAAAAATTGGTTGTACATGCTTTTTGACTTACTTTGTCTTGAATTAAGTGTTCTTTTCCCACAGTTGGGAAATTTGAGATAATTCTATTTCTATGAAGCTGATGATCCTTATTGTTCCTTTGGGGCACCCAGAAGTTAAGGGTATGTTCTTAAAGAGGTAGATGAACAAAGACATACAATATATGAAAAAGGGACCTTCTGGCAATCAATTCCAGTCAGGAATCCTTGGAAGTAGGAGATCAAAGTACTGAAGTTCTGTAGATCCAAGGAAGTATGGTACAATAATTTGTAGCACTGTTTCTGAACCCCTTCTTCTTTATAAAATTTTTTATTTTAAATTATCTTTGAATAACTTGGTGTAGAAGATCAACCTTGAATTCACAGTGCATAGGTAACAAAATCACAGCAAGATCTGTAATTTGCAAGAGACAATAGTTTTCCCGACTCCTGGTGAACTGCAGTTCTGCACTGCACAACACTGAGGTTGTTACAAATTGAGCATCAAAATACCCCAAATCTCCATGTGTGCCCTTTTGTCAGTTGCTATTCACTTTGGATGAACTGTTTGGTTCTGTTTTGGGTCAATTTGTTCCTACTCAAATCAAAATCAGACTGGTTGCTCTCATGGTTGTAAAAGACCTAACTGTGATTTTAAGAAGCAGATCTTCAGCATGCAGCTTATCTATGGGTATGCTGTCATTGAAAAATGAGCAACTAAGTCATATAGCACCTGTAGTTTTGCTCCTTTGGCCCTGTAAGGGTCTTGAGTTATCAGCTACAACTTTGATATGACAGGTCTCCCTGTGGAGCTTACAGTTTATTACACTTTGGTTTGTTTTTTTTTTTTCTTCCCCCAGGTGATTCACCGCTGGGTGCCTTGCAGCAGAGATCCAAGTAGTCGGTCACATATAGATAAAACCATCCTGCTGGTTCAAATTGAAGATAAATATGTTGCTGTTGTTGAAACTGGAGTCCTTGAACTTGGGGCTGAAGTGTAAATCTCTTTGAGACTGAAACTTCCCCTTCTCCAATGATTCAGAAGAGAGAAGGGTCCAGAAGAAGCAGCTCCCAGGACACAAAACTTTGGTCCGGTTGTAGGAAAGGACTTGAAACACAGATTTGTCTAAGTCCCTTTCCCCAAATAAACAAGTGTAAGAAATTTTTTTAAGTTGTTAGCTGCTGAAGAAACACTTGCATGAAGGATAGATTTGTTGAGACATATCTTTTGTTTATAAATTCTGTTATGCATTGCGTAATGCTTTAAATCAACAAACTTTTCAGTTCTAAGATCAGAGCACCTCATATTTTTCTAATTGTTTTGCCAAAAATTGCCATGTCTTGTCACAGAGTGCGTGGAATTCATCCACCTTATTTTAATGAAATTGACTACAAACCTTCAGTTTGGTGAAACAGTGTAAGGGTTTCAGGTGTGGCAAGAAGAGACTGAACAGATGTATAGATTCTTATTCCTTATGAGCTAAACATTAATGAGAACTGCACTAATTTTTTTACAGCAATGCACTAAAAACAACCCTGAGATTGCTGAGAACATTTATTTATATATATAAATATAAGTATATAAAATACCATTATTTAAATTGCCTTTGGGATTAATCCCCTCCCTCTCCATATACATGTTGATGGTAAGGGCTGTGCCATGGGTTTGGTTCTATGTTCTGTATTTCGTACAAGTGCATTTGCTGCATCCTCTTCACAATAAATGGTAAAATAACAAATGTGTAGAAAAGCACCTGAGTATCCCTGTACTACATCAAACTTTATTGTGGTGGCAGTGGTACCTCAAACCTGTACAACACATCTAGCTTTAAAGTGGGCCCCAATATGACTTTCTATCTGTTTTCCCTTCACTAGCCATGGCTACTTTGCTTCTTTACACCTGGAGCTGGCTGTGTTGTTTCATTGGCTCTTCTCTGGCAAACACAGTGTTTTGTAGTGGGAGGTGCAGGTCCATGATTACTTCACAGATGCTTGAAGGTTTTTTTTTATTCTATCCAATTTAAAAAGAAAAAACAGTAACAATTCTCCAAACAGAAGAAAAAAAGAACACAATAAAACTTGACTTTTGCTTTCAATGATCTTTTATAGAAGGCACAGCCCTAAACTTGTATCACTTTTACCACCTTGCCTTTTCTTTCCCTTTAGTCTTCATTCTTTTCTATGACTTGAATTTTATTTTCTGTGATTATATATTCTATGTAAGTGTAATTTGAGTATTTATAACTGTGAAGTTGAATTATTCATGTGTTACATATCCTAGGTTTTATTGTATTTTTTTAAAAGTGTGTATTCAGGGAAACAAGTAACTCAGAACTATCATGGGAGTGTGAGAGGGAAACTGGTTTGTTCTTGACTTGCAGTTTCTATGACTCACTTTTCTTAATCCATAAGAAAGAAATGTACCTGTTGTGATTGTTTCCTGTTTCTGACCTATAATTATATAGGACTCTGTGGGGAATTTGCATACGTTCTAGCTTTTGGGAGCAGCCATCTTCTTCCCAGTCACCTCCACTTCTTTATATGTGTTGTAATTAGATGAGACTTTTGATATACCACAGAGGTTATTATAATTAATTCTCTGACATCAGAGAAACGTTGTCCATTATATACCTAACATAAGAGTGAAATTACATGGGATAAGAAAAAAGGAGAAAACAGCTACCTAAGAAACACTGGTATTCCAGCTCAAGTCACTGTGTGCCATCTGGCCATGAGAGGGTAAGTCTGTGTGCCCGGTAGCTACTCAATTCCAGTTACCTTTCCCAGTGAATGATACTGGGACCTTGCTTGCATCATAGACTATGCAAATTTGTCCTTAAAATGCTGTGCATCTTGAAGTTGCATATTACTATTCACTTTATTCATACACAGTCCCATTTAATCATGGTATAAATGCACAGATCTGCCACCCTTGAAACTATGTGGAACAGCAAATTTATCACATGTATCACATTATAGAGTAGTTGAATTAATCTGCATATATGAAAATGTAGTACAGAAAATGAAACTTCTGTAGTAGTCTGGTAATGCTATCAGGAATGAAGAAAATGTGTAAGTTTTGAATTGAAGGCCTTTTAGTGAAGGTTTTATTCTATATCCTTCCCTTCAGGTAAATACTTTTAATTAATTAATACCTTTAATTAATTAACCTTCCAGGTTTTCTGTATCACTAGCAACATTGCTTCATTTAAAAGTGAGAAGTTTGGAAATAAGCCCCTATTTGACATCAGTTGCACAGGGTTGGATTTTTTTTCCCTTGGATGGAAGTCTTGAGTTAAACAAATGACTGAAAGCCAAAATATATTTTTGCGTTGTTTTTTTTTTAAAGCTGACTGAAACAACTTTCAGTATGTTAACCCTGACTGAACAATCTCTTGCTCTTTTTGGGGCAAGGTCCATTGCTGGTAAAAGATGTGATAGGAATTAATGGCTTGTTAATGTGGAAATTTTAGCGCATATGTCTGTCTGCCTGGAATTATATTGGCAAACAGCAGATAGAGAGAGAGAGAGACTTTTTTTAAGGGCAAAGAGAATTAATGAATAGTTCTATTTTTTTATAAAACATAAGACTTGGTATGCTGACTTCAGGAGATGGATTTTAATGTGCAGAGCTGCTCAACAGAAGCCACCTAGTTGAAATTTCACTCTTCCATAAGGCTTTGGAAAATTAAAGATTTTCCTGACCTTGTTAAGATTCATATGATTGTATGTTGGTTTGTACAGCGTTTGTCTTTGGTTTCTACTGTGCAAGTGACAAAAATGTTTTTCTTCTGACTCAGAAGCACAGAGAATTAACTAGGTTGGAAAAGACCTGTGAGGTCATAGAGTCCAACCTATGACTGAACACCACCTTGTCAACTACTAGACCATGGTATGAAGTGCCAAATCCAGTCTTTTCTTCAATACCTCCAGGGATGGTGACTCAACCACCTCTCTGGGCAGCCCATTCACTCTTTCTGTGAAGAATTTCTTCCTAATGTCCAGCCTGAAGTTCCTCTTAAGACTGGGGATGCCTTAACCTTCAGCTTAAGACTAGTCCTCTTGTCCTGGTACTGGTTACCTGAGAGATCAACCCACCTGGCTACGCCCTCCTTTCAGGGAGTTGTGGAGAGTGATAAGGTTTCTCCTGAACCTCCTCCAGGCTGGACAACCCTAACTCCCTCAGCCTCCTCATAGGATTTGTGCTCCAGACCCTTTACCAGCCTTGTTGCTCTTGTCTAGATGCATTTGAACATCTCAACATCCTTAAATTGGGGGGTCCTGAACAGAACACGGCACTCAAGGTGCAGCCTCAGCAGTGCCGAGTACAGGGGGATGATCTCAACCCTGGTCCTGCTGGCCACACAGGCCAGGATACCATTGGCCTTCTTGGCCATGTGGGCACACCTCCTCACAGGATAGACCTGCCTGTGGAAACGTCTGGTCTAGATGGAAATTATTTCATCTTTTATTTTCTTGGTCTTAGTCTTGATGTGTAATATTTTTCTGCTGTTATAAGGATGAAAAAGATAGGTATTTTCAAATTATTCCTGTCAGTCGAAATTGAACCTTACCATAGAGCAGAATTTTTTAGATCTTTCTAGACTTTTATGAAAACCCTTACAGATGTTTGCTTTTACTCTGCACCCTTGCGTTGTGATATTCTCTTGCCATAAGAACATTCCAGTTAAGTCCTACTGTTGTAGCTTCCAGGTGGATCCCAATCTATTTTCTTTCTCTCTGATTTCTGTGGAGGTTGTATCTATATGTACATATGTAAGGACTTCTCCCTAAAACACTCAGTTGCAGAAAAGGGCTTGAAAACCCCATTAAGCAGATAATGTCATTAGTAAAAATGGCTACTACACGATGTTTTAAAACCTTTTCTCATTTCACATCTCTGTGAAATCTTTTAGAGTGTTCTGATTAAAAACACCAAAAGCCTAGAACTGTGTATGTGGCACCACTGATGACACCTAGACTTCTGTGCTACTTTAAATGGATGATACTAGTGCTGGATTCTGAGGATCTCTCTTATAATCCAGCATGTGTGAAATGGTTTCAGAGTTTGAAGAAGATGATGGTGATGATTAGTTCTTGAGGTAATTCCATGTAGGCTGAATGGTCGGTCCTACAGCCACTTTGCATGGGACATCTGGCATATTTCTGAGTAGTGATGCCAATTTTCCAGTCAAGAGTCATCACCAGTCATACCTCATCCCATGGTCACAATGCCTCTGGGAACTGAAGGACTCTTTGAGAAGCCTGGATGACTGGTGAGATGACAAATGAAGACATGGCACAGGTCTATGCCTTTGGCAAGAGGCTATAAAGATTTGTCTGGATTTGGGCAAGGGGGGAAGAGATGCCTTATGATTGATTCAACCTTCTCTGATAATGCACACACCACCATGCAACCGGGAGTGTAGATAACAAAGACACTGCTTTAAAGACCTTTCTCAATTCAAGAACTCTCAATTTATGAAATGGAGCTGGATAAATTTAATTTCATACCATTAACAATATTATTCAACTTATATTGGATTTGGGGTTGTGCCACCACAGGTTTTATGTACTTAATTTTATTAAGGAATTTTATACCTATTATATAGGCATCTATTATTTTCTTGTCTGGCTTGCTATTTGATATTCTAATGTAGTACATTCAGTGGCGCTGGACTCTTTCAGAAATTATACTGGTAATTCCTGGTGCCTTAGTAAAACAGTGGGTACATAACACCTTGGTGGAAGGTAAAGCATGTGACTTGTTTCACCCCAGCATGATATGCATATTTTTTAAAAGGTGATTAAGATGGCTGCCCCAAAAGATTTTGGGAGTATACCTACATCACTTGGTCATGAACATTTGAATATGAGCAATTTTTATGACTTCTGGTATGTACAATTTGACTAGATAAGCCCAGTACACTTAGGCTGAAACTTTGAAAGATGTCAATCAAACAGCTGGATATGTAACTTCGTACACAGATGCCCTTGAAAGCCTGACAATAGCTGCTGGTTAGGAAATGGAGAAGGGAGTAGAGCATAAAAGAGAGGGTGGCTTTGGTTTCTAATGGACAATGAAAATATATATTGCTTCTACCAGCAAAAGGTTACCTTGCCAGGGATAGGGATATATGTACCTGCGTGTCTGTGAGTGTGTATGTGTCTGCGTGTGTTATTGAAACAGCCTGTAAATATTGTAGCTGTTTAAAATGGAAAAGGCAGAGAGTTTTTTTGCAACATGTTGCAGCAAAAGGACAGTATTGACAGTGGAGAAACACTGAGAAATAAAAGAACCTTTTTTCACTTGTTGTCATTTATTGCAAGATTACATTCTGTTAAGATACCATTCTCACAAATTCCCTATAAGGACTGTTTTAAGTTTATTCAAATCATCCTTTAATGAAAGATTATCTTGTTTAAAAATTGTCTTTTGTAGCTATGCAATGAATAACCTCAATTGCTATTTTACTGCCAGCATCATCCCTGTTTTCATGCTTTTGCATAAATAAGTGCAACGTGCACTCTCTTCTACTGTTAAAATGTTTCATCTCTGTGTGGAAGCATTTTCTCTCAGGGATTTCCCTTCTCTTAAATGTTTTTCAAAGCCCAGAACACTCTTGTACTGTCATTGTTCATTCATCATACTATGCTAGGAAATGCCTTACTTAGTGTGGTTTAATCAGTCATTTCTAATTTTCTGCCGTCCTTGATCTGATACCCAAGTGTAGCATTGGGTGGAGTCCTCATGACGACTGTGTTTGCATGAAACACTTTGTGATAGTGATGTTTAAAAATACTCAGCTGCTGTCTGTCCATTCTCTCAAATATTTCACACTTATACAGAGGTAACATTATCTTGCACCTTACAGTTTAAAAGATCACTTCTAACATAAACAATGGTGATTGGAGAGCTCTATGTCTGTAAAGATTGGGTGTTTCCTTTGCATAAAACCTACACAATGCATCTGCAAGTTCTGCTTGCCTGTGACACTTGACCTGTAGCTGCTTCAGGCCTCAATTTAAGAATGAGAGAGAAGAACACAGAGCAAGTGTTCCTAAGGAAAAACAGCTCCTTGTATTTTTTAACGTGAATAAGTCAGTCTCAGTGAAAAGATTAAAAGTTCTGTAACTGTTGTGTTTATCAGAAGCAGCTGAGCTTTCAGCTGACAATATCAAAAACGGAGGAGCAGCACTTCCAGACTGATGTGGGGCTGGCAAAGGGTAAGATTGTTGCTGTAGTCCACTGTTTCTTGTTCCTGTCAGCCAAAGGCCTGCAACTGGTAAAAACGGGGGAACCGGAGCCCTGGTTCCTGGTTGGAGGCTATTTCTTAGGCTAGTTTGCCCTGAGAGAAATCCAATTCACTTACTCCAAGATAATGTATCCCTGTGAGCCTATCAAAGACCTGAAAGCAGTGTCTTTGCTTCTACAACACACACCTGGTCTGGGTGAGTGGATTGTCTATTGCACAGCTTCCTTGTATTGTCAAAGATGGTCCTCTATCCTGTTTTTACCCGGACTTCCTATGACCCATAATCCTTGTGTAGAAAGATGGTACTTGGGTAATGGCACTTTACAGATCTCCTTCGTTCAATCAGTTTATGTGGATTTTCTTCCGCTCATCAGAAAGTGATTTGCATTTCTCTCCGAGCTCTCGGGGCAGAGCACCGTGGTAGGGCGCACCCGCCGCGGTGGCTCGCCGAGCTGCCGGTGCGAGCCCGCGGCACCGAGCGCTGCTGTGCCGGCTCGGAGCTGCTCCTGCGGGGGCTGTGCCGTGTCCCGGGGGCTGTGCAGTATCCCGGGAGCTGTTCCGTGTCCCGGGGGCTGTGCAGTACCCCGGGAGCTGTGCCGGGCGGCACAGCTCCCGGGGTACTGCACAGCCCCCGGGACACGGAACAGCTCCAGGGCGGCCGGCAGGGGGCGCCGCAGGCCGGCGGGCTCCGTGTGGGAGCGGGGCCGGCCGTGCCTGTGAGGGCAGCGAGCACCTGCGAGCCGCCCTGCCCTTCCTGATATACCCTGGTGTGTATTTACATGGTTCTCTCCGCCCGCTCCTCTGCTCCGGCCTTACCTTGGGGTTGTGCTCCCAAAGATGCCGCTCTGATTCCCACCCTCACTGCAGCACCCGGCTGAACCGACCGGTGAGGCCGCGCTGCTGGGCCGTTCCGGGAACCTGCACTATTTCACAATGTCTATTAAGATATCGCAGAGAAAGGAAGACACCCACCTGCCTAATTATTTTCTTTCGTGACCAGGGGAGTAAGAAGAGGGGAACAAATAGCAAGAAAAAGGAAGACAAAGATATTGGGGAAAATATAGAGAAAGACTACTTTGTCTTTCCAGAAGCTGAAGGAGATTGAGTAGGCAGCCACAATATAGTTTTCCAGCCTCTTTCTAGTAATCCCCCTATGTCAAAGTGAACCAGGTGTGAATTCCTCAAAAGTGCAAATTAATTTTGAATGTAATTCTGATTTAGCAGACATCAGTCTTAGAAACTACTGAAAAATAAAGGGTACCTTTCTTTTACTCAGTGTATTGTATATATTATGATGCTTTGTCACACTCAGGTAAAATTATAAATTAGACCGTGGTTTAAAGGGCACAGTGCCCCTTTGTGATGCTGGGAATGAAATGGCTGCTGTTTCCACGTGTGATTCTTAGGAATGCATGTCTAAATCCTGCAACTCAAATAAGCATCCATACTGTAACTACAGTACAAATATCAGCTGATGAGGATCTGAGCAGCCTCTCCTGCTTGTTTGGACCCCACATCCATTCTGCTGTGGCAGGCATTACAGGATGGCTCAGAGCTTGTGTACCGTGACCTTGCACAGCATTCACTGTCTCTTTTTCACTTCAGCTGTGGAGACAGATGCTTGGGACCTGGGCACTTGTGAAGCTCTCCTGTGAGCCTACCTGTGCTGTCTGATGCAGGTACCAGAAGAGGCAGGCTGGAGATTGTTGCCAGGAAGTCAATGCTGTCTTTGTAGAAAACAATTTTTACCTTGCTAGTGGAACACATTTTACATGTCCCAGCAGTGGCTGACAGGGACAGAGAGACCTTAGTGATGTTCCCCAGCAGCAGACACTGTTCCAGCTCTCCTCCTTTTCTCATTGTGGGAGTATCTGAGGTTTAGAAAAGGCCAGCTCCCCCTCCACTGTGCTATCATTGCTGCGGTACATTAACTTTTTCTCTCTTGTGCCATTTGTGTTTACCAACACCTGGAGCTGTCAGCCCTCTGTGCTCCCTGACTTCCTCTGAGGGAGAAAGCCAGTGCCCTTTGCATCCTCTTTGTGTGTCTTTGCTGGCACATTTGCAAGTTCTGCCCATCACTCAGAGGTGTGGAAAGCAAAATTGGTAGCTCGTCCCTCTGCAGGCAACAAGACAGCAGATGTCTCTGGAGAAAGCAGTGCTCAGATATATTTAGGGCAATTATATACCACAGCTTCATGCTTCTTGTCATCCTTGTTGTTTGCTACTAATGGAGAGTTTTGGTCCATCAGTGTTGTATACATCTACAGCAAGACTGGGCTTGTTTGCCTCCCTCTCAAGCTCTCTTTCCCAGCCTGGAGTTTCTATTTCTTACCTTCTCAGGATCTTTCCTGTGAATAACAAGATAACTTCTTGCTGCACCCTGGTTTTAGTGCTCTTCACTTACCTTTGCCTAAGGCTTGGAAACCTCTGGGTGGTAGCTTCCTGCAGCACTCTTTTCTTTTGTCACTGAATCTATGAAAATGATCCCTGAAAATTATTCTTGACTGTGGCCTGGATGATCTGCTTTCCTGGTACCTTACATGAGTTAAGAAAAAAAAAAAAGTTGTATTTTGAAAATGCCTCATACTTCAAGGGAGGTTAGTTGCTGTCAGAGAGGTACCATGGTAAGGTACAGCTCACTGCCACCCAGGGAGCCTGCTGCTGTCCCAACCCACTGCTGCACATGCTGTATCCACCTCCCCCTGGACCCCTCCTGCCCATCAATTCACTTGACCACAGTGTCTGCCAGCCCATTTGCCTGCTGCCAGCTCACAGTGAGCCACGTCTGAAGTCTCAGACATCCTTGTTTTTCATGCAGAGTGCATTAGGATCAAGGAAGACAGCATCTGTGAGAAGAGACAGCCCCAACATCATATGGAAGTGTCTCTACCGCTGATATTTGAGTCAAGTGGACACCCTGTGCATGGGCAGGTCTTCCATCTGTTGTGTGGACCCTCCAGCCCAGGTAAGGATTAGATGCCACCTTAGAGCTTGCACCTGGATAACTTGAACTGATTGGGTACCTGTGTGGGGTAGCATCATAGGATGGCTTAGGTTGGAAAGGACCTTCAAAGATTATTTAATCCAACACCCCTTCCACAAGACTGGGTTACTGAGAGCTCAGTCCAGCTCGGCACTGAATAGTGCCAGGGATGGGGTATCTGCAACGTGTTTGAGTGCCTCACTACCTTCATAGTAAAGAATTTCTTCCTAATAGCTAATCTAAACCAATTGTCCTTTAACTTAAAATTGCTGCTATTCCTCCTTTCATTACAGGCCTTGGTAAAATGCCTTTGTCTTTCTCATAAGCCCCATTAATACAATGAAAGATGAGGTACCTGCTGGGTGTGAGAAATCGGGAGCTCAAAAACAGCAAAGCTGATCATCAACTGATTCCAAAGAGCCAAGCGGGGCCCACCTGAGGGGCGATTCGGTGAAAGCCCTGTACATCTCTGCCTGAGCCTCACCACCACTTCAGCCTTGCTGTTGTGGCCCCTTGGAGCCCTCAGTGTGTGCTGGATGATCCCTGTGAGCACCCAGCCCCTCCGCGGCCTTGCCTCGCGCTGTACAGCACGTAATGAGAGCTGCAAATGACCCATGTAATGGGTAACTGGCTTGGAGCGTGGCACTGCCCGCGATTACAAGTTTATCTGTACGTGATGTTACACTGCACAGCTCCCAAACTATTTTCAACACAATTGATTTCCATTATGGAAAATGCATTCCCCGAAGGAGACGGCAGCAGTGATGCACGATGGCACAGCAGAGCTGGGCTTCATCTTGGGCATGAAACACACCATGTAAATACATATCCGTGTCAAATCCAGTGGCAGTGGTGTTTTTTCCACACTGTTCCAAGCTCAAAAACCCATGCTCACCCTTCTCAGTGGCCAAGAAAGTGTCAGCACCAGGGGAAAAAGGAGGGAGGGGAACAGCCCCTTGCTTTTCTCATTCCTCGTTACTACAGCTCCTCAGGGGTGGGAGCAGATGGCCCCCCTGAGCTTTTCCACGCCTGGTACCCCCACTGCAGGAATGGGGGTGAACACTGTGAGT